AAAAATAAATTTTGTAGAAAAGTTAAGAAGAAAAATAATATTTTATCAGTAATGGGGAAGAAGTGAGAAACAGTGAGCTCATTTAGTTGTATGGTAAATTGAATGTATACCATTTCAGCGGGTCAAATACCAAGCTGGACTATGCTAAGTTTTCAGACTCTAAGAAACTGCATCTACAGCTGCTTAAGCTACATTTGTCTGTATTGAATTGTCAACTCTACCAATGTTTCTTAAGCTTGTCATTAAGGAAAAGGGGAGATATTTTAGGGAAAGGCGTGAACAGTCAGGATGTGATATGTGCATGCATACATACATACATAAGGAGTGAGTGGTCTGACTGTTGCTTAAACAAAATCTTTCATCATGCCTAGTATTAGAAACAGGGGTGGTAATGGTGTAAAAAGCTGTGAACCAGCATGGTTCAAATATACAATGCCCCAGAGAGCTCCTTGACAATGTCTCCCCTACCTCCCACCGATGGTGAGTTGAGGGCTCCACAGCAGTCTGCTGGTTTACTCAGGTAGTCTAAAGGCGACAGCTCACACTTGGACGTAGAGTAAAATTCTTGTCAGTGAAGGTTTATCTGCCCATAAATGCCCTTTGAGTTTGTTTGGGGAGGGGGTTTTTGCTTTTCTTTCTGTATGAAGGAAACCGCAGATAACTAGATTGTCTGGTTTGTTCGGTTCAAGCCTGTTTATTGGCATCCTTTTGTTTTTTGCCGTTGTGTTTTCACAAACTTAAAAGACATTGTTGCTGTTTCTTCTGATACATTTTTTCTAGTAATTGGGCTTTTGTTTGATTAAATACAACAAATTGTCTGATCAAAATGGGTGAAGAGAATTCAAACAACTGAAACTAAACGCTGCCAAAGTTTCAACTGTGTATTAACCCTTTACAATACCAATAATGAAGCAATTGTTACTGACAAAGGTAAAAGCAGAACCATAAACAGTACATTCAGCATCTGACAAAAAGCAGGTATCTTCATACCATCTTTATTGTTATAATGCATATATAAATTGACATGTTTATGCTGAGTAGCTTTCCTTACATAAACTTTTATCAGAATTACTCAAGGTACACTCCATAGAGAACTTCAGTGAGCTTGATTCTGGTTTTACCTCTGGTAATTTTATTTTGGTGATATGGCACTGAATTTATCAAATTACCGCCTCACGCACACTTGGAGATAATAAAGTCAGATCATTGTATGTCAAAAGTATATGATATAGATATCATATTGCTCCATTTCCTTCAGCTTCATATACACAGCTATTTCAGTGATCTATGGGTTCAACAATTTAGAGGTGCTCGGTTATAATTAATATTGTGGTATTTTTCCTTAGGTGATGTTTATGCACTAAAAGCAGAAATCATGGTGTTAATTCTTGGCATATTCTACTGTCTGCAGTTTGTCCTTCCACAGTTTAATTTCTTCTCTCTCCTGTGCCCACCTGAGTTTTACCATATTGCAAAGTGATAGAAAAGCCAAATCATTATTCAGCTTCCTGAGATAATTCTCATCATCGTTTGATTTGGTCTATGTACAGCATTTAGATTTGTATCCATTAGTGATCATTAGTTGCCAGTCCATTGTATCAGTTGAATTTCATAAGCAACTGAAGTTTATTGATACCTGTGCACAAATAAATTGGTGGGTGGCTCTCAGATAATTACTGAATTAACGTTTAGAATTACATTTTCATGATATATGTTTTCTTATATTTTATTTGGTAAATTTCATTATTATAACTTCAAAAACTTTGAGGCTGCCAGTTCTTTGCTGTTGGTTTTTTTTGTTGTTTTTTGGGGTTTTTTTTTTGTGAACATTGTTAAGTACACATCTGGTAAGTATTTGGATTCATTAATGTGGGATAAAAAGAAATACTTAATGCTCTGCTTCTTACTGTACTACCTGGTACTTTTGAGGGCTTTGCATTTTTAATTATTGTAAAAGCATTGTGATATTGGCCAGGTATATTAGCAGCTGTTGTAGCAAAGTTTGTTTCAATATCCATCGAGGCCACAAGCCATTTTTCCATTGTGCCCAAGGGACTTTGAGACGGGGGCTTTGTGTGCTAGTGATGCTCGTGCCTCTGCAGTGCGGCGTGAGAAATACTTTGCCTTTTCATTCTATTCTGTTTCCATTCTGTTTCCATCCAACAAAATTGAGTTCCTCCCAGACAAATGACAGGGGTACACAGCCTTAATCTTCTTCCCTTGACGCTTCTCTGAGAAATACACATGTATAATTAGTGTTACGTTATGGATCAGGGATCCTTGGGAAGTCTCAGACCTTTACTAAATTTTGGGCAGACCTCATCTCGCCGGAGGAGAAGTGATTCAGGTGCTTAATGGGCATTGATTATCATTTGAGACAACCAGGGTTATCCAGTCTGGCCTCCAGCTTTCTCTTCATAGAGAATCTTCCACAGGTCCTGTGTTCTAGTGGGAGGTGTCCCTGCCCGTGGCAGGGGAGTTGGAACTAGATGATCTTTAAGATCCCTTCCAACCTGAACTATTCTATGTACTGATCATGTACAGATCCTTTAGGTCTCCTGTGACATGAAATACATGAATCAAATGCCATTCTCAGGCACCGGTACCCACCCTTGATGCCTCCTCAAGTCCTGCTGGAAGTCCCCAGCTGCCTAGGGCTCTCGGCACTGCATTCGCCCATCCACTGAGAGCCAGCTAGCAGGCCCGCATGCACAGAATCACAGCATCCTAGAGTGGTGGGGCTGGAAGGGCCCTCTGGAGCTCCCCCAGTCCCACCCCCTGCCAGAGCAGGGGCACCTCCAGCAGTGGCACAGGATGGCGTCCAGGCGGGTTTGGGATGGCTCCAGAGGGGGAGACTCCCCCACCTCTCTGGGCAGCCTGTGCCACTGCTCTGCCACCCTCACAGGAAAGAAGTCCCCCCTCAGGTTGAGATGGAATGTCCTATGCTCAAGTTTGTGCCCGTTACCTCTTGTCCTGTCACTGGGCACCACTGAAAAAAGACTGTTCCATCCCCCTGGCACCCTCTCTTTAAGTATTTATAAGCGTTGATAAGATCAATGCCTCAGTCTTCTCTTCTCCAGACTGAAAAGCCCCACGTCCCTCAGCTTTCCTCATCAGAAGGATGCTCCAGTCCCTTAATCATCTTTGTAGCCCTTTGCTGGACCCTCTCCAGCAGTTCCCTGTCCTTCTTGAACTGGGGAGCCCTGAACTGGACACAGTACTCCAGATGTGGCCTCACCAGGGCAGAGTAGAGGGGGAGGATGACCTCCCTCGACCTGCTGGCCACACTCTTGATGCACCACTTCTTGAAATACCACTGTTTACAAATGGCCAAGCTGGAGAGGATTTATATCATGCCCTCAGACGTAAGTGGCAGAATGGGAGTACCTTCGTGATGATTGGAAATGAGCTTTCAAACATCTTTGCTTAGGGAATCTGATTTTCTTAATGCTGTAATGGCCTTTAATATTTTTCTGTAAAAATAGGTAGGGTTTTTTTTTCCCTCTGTGCAGGAAAAGCAAGGCCTTGTTAACTGCTCCTAAGAACAAAGTTTATTTTAACGGTTTGGTTTTACTGCCTCTAGTCCTAGGTTACCGCTACCCTAACATAATGTTGATTTTCACATGTAACATAGTATTTCACTTATATATCTTATAATTCACTAGGAAAATACATATCTGTGTTAAATACTATGTCACGCTCTCAAACAGTGATTGCAGGACAGCCCAGGCTGAGGTTTGCACCCCAGGTTTTACTGAGCAGTGTGAGGCTTTAATGGGAGAAATATTGGGATATGGTCCCTGTTCACATTGTGCTTGCCTTCAGCTCATTCCTTGTTTATAAAAATATACACATGCATTTCTACCAAAGCAATGGTTATTGCCCTGAGGCAACTACTGCCCACCTCGCTGGAAGGTGGTCTTGACTTTGGCTGTTGCTTACCTTCAGAAGGCACTTACTATTCATATGACATTAAACAGAATGCCGAAAGTGCTCCCAAAGGGCTGTTGCCGGAATGGTGCCTGTCAAAAGTATGTCCCTGCTCTTTGCTGATGCCGCATGACTCATGTGGAGAGGGGCAATGCCTGGCCGAGCACCTCTGTCCCTGAAGTGTGCAGAGCTGGGCAAACATGGACTTTGAGGTCCGCCACCAATATGGTCAACACGGGGAGGGGGCCGGCGTGGGGTCCCTGCCTGCTGGCACTGGGAGCGGGCAGGGGCGAAGGCCAACTTCTGCTGAACTTTCTGCAAACTTTGTCCACGCGGACATCTTCCTGCCAGCATTCCTTAAATCTTTTATGCTGTGAATTTTACAGTAGGGACTGTAAAATGCAGCTGTATGTATGTGTGCTTAAGGACAGATTCTGCATGTATTTTTGAAGGCAAATGAAGCGAACTGGTGCCATAGTCCGTGTATGGGGGGCTCCTCAATGCAGTGGAGGTTGTCACTTAAATTTTGACAGGGTCGGATGCCTTCTCGTGTTTGGCTTGCAGTGAAAATTGTAACACATCATAGAATAAGCTATTTGTATAATTTCTCTATCATTCTATACATTCCCACAGCCACAGCAGTTTTTTTGTACTGGTAATGCTTTTTTTTTTCCCTTTCCTCTCAATTCTTGAAAATCTGTTTCCTCCCAAAATTTCCAGAGCTTGCCAAGAGCTCTCCCGTGCTTTTCCCAAGGTCAGTGCATTTTTCTGACTCTGCGTGTGCTCTTCCCACCCGCAAAGCGCCCGTGATGGGTCCGTTGAGCTGGGCTGTGCCCCACCAGCCCCTCCATCCACCAGCCCTGCAGCTGGATGTGCCCTTCTGCTGGTCTCCTGGCCCTGGTGGGGGGTCCCCAGGGCCCTGGGACAGGAGAAGGGCTGCCCATCGCAGGAGAACGAACTCCAAGGTTGGCCAGAGAGGGCAAAATCATGTCCTGCATCGGTAATGCTTTAAAAAAGTGTTTTTTTTTCCCAGGGCGCACTGGCTGAAACACTGTGTTTGTGTTTTTCAGAGATCCCCCTGGTCTTGTACCTCTTTGCCCTCATTTCTGTCACCTGGCTGTGGGGAGGACTGCACATGGCTTACCGGCACCTCTGGATGTTAGTCTTCTTCATCATCTTCAACAGCCTGCAGGTAAGAGCCGGCGCCTTTCCCTTCGGTCCTCCTGCAGGGATGGGGGTCATCGCCGCCGCTCACCGCACGCGCGGCGTTTCAGCGTAACCAGCTGAGCGGCACCCAGAAACAGGCTGAGGCACGGTGGAAGCGTTAATTATGTGTTCTGTTTATTCCTCAAATTAACGTACGGAATGCGTATTAAGGCAAGGGAAGCGTTGTTTTGAAACAATGGCAGTATAATTGCATAGGTTCAATTTCACAGCTAATACACCGGGAAATAAAACCGCTCGCTTCTGTGTGCAATATGTTACTGAGATAAGTACAGCAGCAAAACTGAAATATCTGCAGCCTTTGCAAAAACACCAACTACTTCAATTTTCTGTATCCGTTAACGCTAATAAAAAAACCCACAGAGATTTAAAATTATATAACCCCTATACTGATTATTTTTTTATTTCCATTATAAGAGGTGAGGCTTGAGGCACAGCTTTTCTCACACAGCATCCATATTGGTAAAGCGAAGATCTTTTCATCGAAAAAATCAAATATAGATTAGATTTTGATTATTAGTTATAAAAAATGCAAATAGCCCTTTGCAAATCTTACACAGGTAAGTGCTTCCACCGGAGTCAGTACTGCATTACAGTGTGTTCAGTGCCGTACTGCATGTTGCAGAATAGTTTACAGAATACAGGTTCGTATATCACAGATGGGAAAATGCCTCTGATGTGTCAGAACAGTGAAATTCAGAAGAATTAAAAAAAACAAAAAACATATATCCAAATCTATGATGTGTGAATTCCTCTGCCATTTTCATAACAAAAATACCCGGGACACCTGGTATTATTTTCCAATATTAAAAATCTTTATACTTCATTAAATAAAAACTAATTAAAGGGTGTATTTTCACAAAACAGATTTATTTTAGATGTTAATTCACAAGGTGGGAGTTTCCTTAGGCAGCAATCTAATATTTTCAAAATTTACATCTCAGATGTAAATTCTTTTTTTTATTTGAGAAAAAAATGTTTCTTATTCTCCTTGCAATACATTTGATTGATATGTATATATTGACATTTAACTATTCTGTATCTATTGGCATATATTGGGTCAAATTAGGTATGTTTGGTTTTTGTTTTTTGTTGTTTTTTTTTCTGTGAAGTTAGGTTAATAGGTTTGCTCTAGCAATTGTCTACAGCATGGACATAAAATTGCTCTCCTGCAGTAAGACTGCCACAGCTCCGCAGCACCGGCAGTAGTGCCAAAACACATTCCCTCCCTTTCCTCTCCCCCTTGCAAAGCCTGAGAACACCGGGAAAACCCCAACAGCAGCTTTAACACCACAACTGTAACTACTGCAGCTTTATAATGAAACTTAATGCATTCATATAAAGCATAAAAGTCTGGTGACATGTGTGTATGTACATGTAGATATACAGGTATATATTTTTATATATCCTTCCTTACTTTCCGTCTTCCAAGAATTATTACTAGAGTCCGATCTGGGTTTGCGTTACATAGATCTGTCTCAGATACAAATTTCTGAAAAGCATAATTCATTATCATTGAGATTTTTATGGCAGAGGTGAAACAGTGCCGCAGAACTGTAATATGTGTAGGTATTTGCTTTAATATAAAATTACTTTATTGCCAGTGCATATTTAAAGAAGAGGGATATGAGTACTCCATGAAAATTATCATTCTTGGCCAGAATATTGACGCTTCTTTGTAATTGCCAGAAGACACTTTATATTAGTCTGCTTTATATAACTTGAAATTTCATTTTATTGAAGTAAAGTTCAAAGCTGTAGAGTTATTATTATTTTAATTAATGTTGACAGTTTCAAGGCATCAATTCATGCAATAGGATCAAGAAGTAAAACAGGCTATGTTGAACACCAGAAGTGTAAAATATGAGGCCCACGAGGTCTGTGGGGGATTTAGTGCACTAGTGGTCTGGTATGATAGCAGGTGGTGTGGGAAACACAGATATAAAAGCACGCCTGGAACAATGTTTAAGTCATGACTGCTATTAGATGTGCACCACTACATGACTCCAAAGTTATTATTTTAAGTCTAGCTAAAAGTGAAATGATATCAGAAATATTTGCATTTCTCAATCTGTGTGAAGTTCTTCAGTTGGTTATATTTAATTCTCTTTATGTAGTTCAGTTTCAATTCATGCACTCTAAAAATCTTTGAACTTCAGAAGTAATTTTTTTTTTTCTTTTATTGGCTGATCTTTGATTGCTGACGGGTCTCTTATCAGCATTGCTTGTCCATACAAAAGTTAAATGCCAGTAAGAGCTGCATGGGTAATATGTAACTCCTGTGTGCTTCTGCTGGAACTTTTTTGGGGGTATTATAATGCCAGAAATATTTCTACCGTCATTTCATGCGACTGAAAGAATGCATAGTTCTGTATATATTGTTTTGGCACTCAAGGACGTGACATAAATAATTTTCTCTCTGAAGAGCTCTACTCTTCTGTCGTCTGTATCCTGCAGCAGGTCGTGCACAAAGATCCAATAACCTCTATTGGCACGTGCGTTTCTAATCTTTCAGGGACATGTCCCCAGTTGCATCTCCACCCTCAGTTAGACAGCTGGGAAATATGCATTCAGAAAGTTTGAAATCCTTCAGTGGAGCTAGGAAACAAAAAAAATTAACAAACCAGATACTGCAAGGTTCACCCTCCGCTGTCTGGCTCGCCTTGTGTTGTTTTCATCACTGTGTGACACCACGCATGGAGCACGGCCCTAGTTTCAAACCCGTGGTGATGCCAGGCTGCCCGCCTTGCCCTTCTGCCCCTCGTTCTTCCTTTAACTCCCTACCAACACAGGCACCTGCTTCACCAATAGATACCATCTTTTTCTTTTATTTTAATAGATACCGTCAATTCGTTTGGCTTCTTGCCCTGATGAAAGATTGTAATATCTGGGGAATAACTGTAGATGTCTACTGGCCTGCAGGAGATACTGCAGCATCTCTGTTCAGACTACATCAGTATTGATCTTCCACATCAAAAGGAGAAATCTGTTATTTTTGTTATTCCTAGCCCTAGAGAATCTGTAAAACCTCAAATATAAAATAAATTGTCCGTTATTGAAAGGAAATGCAAAAATTTCAAATGTATAATCTCTTCCTGATTAATATTTTAAATTAAAACCTGCAGTTCTGTAGCTCTAATTCAAACAGTAGTAAATAAAGACTTTTCCTGCCAGCTATGAAGAGCTCAAGAACTTCACACTTCACATTTTAAAAACAATTTCTGTGTTTTGCTGGAATTTTCAGGCATAAAATGTAAAAGGACAGTATCCAGTGCCTTTTATAACTAGATATTGGAAATTACATTTTAAAGTATAATTTTACCACATATTTAAAAGGAAAAGATACCTTTTTAATGTTGGGTGCCCTGAGAACAGTAAAAAAAAAAAAAACGGAGCAGCACTTTCACAGCACTACAGGTTTTGTATTTGTTTGTTTGTTTTAATAGGTGATTGTCTTCAGTGCTTTGTAAATCTCTACAATAAAACAAGTTTAAAAAACATTTCCTGGAACACCCCCACATTTTAAATAACCGCCCCGCCTATATTGTTCTCCTGTTTTAAAGTTACCATTTATCTAATCAGGAAACAGAAGAACTGACGTGTGATTCAGGTGACATGCAGCACGAAGTGAAAAACAAGGAAGGAACAAGGTGAATAGTCTGTAAATTTCCTTAATCTATGCTTTTCATCAAATAACCAGAAACACCGAATTGTCTTAATTAGAGAAAATGTCAGTATGCAAACTGTTTGGGTAGAAGAAAATTATGCAGTAGAAGCACTAAATACTGAATAAATGAAGGTTGTGCTGTGAGCAGGTATAGCTGGATACAGCTTTTGCAGACCACGCTCCCACTAAGGAGGGTCTGCTCTGGGGAGGACACGCTCCCTGCGGAGAGGTCCTGCTGGACACCAACCTCTGCAGAGCCAGGTTCACCCACGACACGGACAGCCGTCTCCAGTGTCCTTTGAAACTTTAATCTCAGCCCAGCTCTTTGGGGACAGGAGAGGGAAATGGCCCTTAACAGTGGGTAACACATTTTAATGATGATTTCGAGAGGAATTAGCTGTCTTTTAGTGAGTGCTGTTGCACCTCGTTCCCATGCGTTGTGTCCTTATTAGCTCTAAGAATTGATAATGATTGTTAAAACGCAGCCATTTTTCCGCAATAAAAGGGTTTTTTACCATTTATTGGTGGGCATTTCTGTTAGACAATGTGCCCTGTTTCCACTGGGAAGCAATTCAGTGTTCATTAAGAGCTTTCCCCCAACAAGAACGAGAGCATGCAATAGTTTATGTGAAACAGGGACCTGCTCCCCTGCTGCTCAGGAGCTACAGACCATATAATGAGGCAGAACGTGACCCATTAACATGCGCTGGATATCCAAATGAATTCAGCTTGGGGGATTGGAAGGACACTGCATGTTATCCAATTTAGTTGTTTAGCCTTGTGGCATACATTTCCTAGGAAATGCGCTTGATAGAAAAGTCATCTACGAAGGACAAATTGTTTCTGAGCACTTCCCGCGGGAAACGGTTCCCATCAGAGTGGAGTTTATAGTACGAGCTATTCTAGTGCGGGGAGGGGAAAGGTAGTCCTTTCCCTCTAACTTCACGAATAAACATGCAAAGTGCCGTATGGAGGCACAATAGCTGACTTACAAAATAAAAAGTAAATTTAGAAAAGCGTGGAAGGAAAAGGATGAGAAGGGGGCTTGGGATATCTGATGTTTTGAGCTCCCTGGCGGTGTGCTCCTGATTGTCCTACCCAGGCAGCATCTGTGCTGCAGAAACGTACCCCGTGCCGTCACGTGAAAGGTCTCGGCTCATTGTCTTTTCACTTGAAAAACCAAGAGGAACATTTACCTCTTTTCTTTACATATGGCTACCTTCGTGGATTTATTCACAAGATATTTGCTGGGGTCAGGACTGAAGGAATAAGCCCCCTCTCTCTAAAGGTTAGGATTTCAC